GGGACCATATGGTGAAGAACAATCAGATCTATAGCTTCTCTCTCATAATCTTCCCCATCTTTTCAAGAAATAACTGAAGAAAAATCTTTGAAATCTTTATTGAGAAATATTCATCAATCAACTGGTTTGTGTTTTTTGAAGGTATTGGTGGAAGTTAAGGTAGTGATAATTGTTGTTATTGATTTGAGTTAAAGATGTTAGTAGTAGTGGTGATTATTATTTTTCTGAACAGATCTGTTGTTGTTATTGGAGATCTGATTTTTTCTGTTCGAGATCTGGTTGTGACTGTTTGTGACCTATTTTGTGTTGATTGTGACCGGTTGTGACTTGAGATTGATCTGGTCACAAATAGTCACATTAAATACAAAATTGGTCACAGACCCCGTATAAATTTACCCCAGATCTTTTATCAATTTTTAACCCCACACACTCTATTTCTTCCCCCAAAAATTAGTTCGGCACTCTTTTACCCAAAAATCAGATCTGCGACTTCTTTCCCACCCACCCTCTAGATTCCAACCACTTACCACTTCTCTCACCGAAGTTTTACGAGAGAAGTGTGATGGTGCTAGTTGGTGTTTTTTGAAGGGTTGGTGGAAGTTATGATAGTAATGATTGTTGTGGATTTGAGGTGAATGTAGTATTTATGGTCATCAGTTTGAATTAAAGATGTTAGTGGTGGTAATGGTTATTATTTTTCCAAACAAATCTGTTGTGGTGGTTTGGAGATCTGATTTTTTTAGTTCGAGATATGATTGTAAGTGTTTGTGACTAATTTTGTATTGATTGTGACTGATTATGACCTGACATTGATCTGGTCACAGACAGTCACAATGAATACAAATTTGGTCACAATTAGTCACACCTAAGGCAAAGTTGGTCACGGTGATTCTCAGATAACATAAGTCAATAAATTTGCCACATGTAACACAGGTATGGTCATAGATAACACGGTTGCAAATCTGATAACTGTAATGCACCACTACAACCATCACAAATTTTGGAGATTTTTCTATCACCGAAGCCGAAACAATTGGTGGAATAGTCGCCGGAGCAGTTTGCCAAAGTAGTCACCGGAGCGTTTGCCGCAGCAGTTTGTCGGAACGGTCGCCGGAGAAGGAGCCGGTGGCTATCTCCGGTGGAGAGGTAAAGGGAAGGTGATGTAGTGGGGTGATAAGATGGGGTGAGTGAGGTGACATGGAGTGGAAATAATTAATGTATATTATATTATAGTTTAATATTTAATAAACATATTTACCACCTGATTTTTGAAATATTTCAATGAGTTTGTTATTTATGAAATGTGTTTTTATAATGTTGTAGTTATGTAGTCTTCCCATATTTAAATCCATAAATTGGTCCAAAGGAAATGGTTATGCTTTCAAAATGGGCCCATAAAAACTGATCCAGTAACTGATTGCAAGTGGAATATGTTAACATATGGTAATATAATGATGCTCGGTAACTAGTCAAGCGGCCCTAAATAATCCAATTAAAAAATCTTCACACCTTTATTTGGCCCATATAATGACTTCAACAGACCTCTTTCTGGAAAGGGAAAAGAGAAAATAGAGGGCTATCGTCTTAAACCCCTAGCAAGTTGAAATCAACCCGGTTTTGGTCCATTTCAAAATTTTACCCTTTTCAATGTCAAAACCCAATATCTAAAACATAAAGAGGCTAGAATGAAGATTTTATGAAGAAATCTGAATTTATTTTCCCGAAATTGAATCGAGCAGAAATCAGATTTATGTAGAATGCTCCATAAACATCAAGGCACAGGTAAAATAAGGCTCTAATACCAAATGTAAGACTGAACTCGATCCTAAAGAATTATGAGAAAACAATTGGATCGAGAAATCAAAAATATTGCGGATCGGAAATCTTACCTCTGGCCATTTATGTGTTCTCTTCTTGCTCTAGGTAATGGTTCTTCCAAACTCTCAACTCATTATATTTGATGGTGTATACTGTATTTCGGGGTGGATTGAGCTTAGGAACCAATACAAAATTTATAGCCGAGTTTCCATCAAACTCTCTTTGGCTACTCCATTGTTGCCAAAAAAATTAGGACAAGAAATGGGTTGAGATATCGAAATCAATTATAAGATTTCCAAGTTTGCAAAATATAAAAGTTAAATTATTTTTCATAGTTTCATCTTTCAACTAGACAAATCCTACATAATATATAGATTTATAGGAATTTCATATAGGCTTTTTTAAGTTTTCAAAAATATGATGTGTTTCAAAATCATAATTGCATAATATACATGGTACCATAATTTAAATCTTATCTAAATAATTATCAGATGAAATCTTTTTAAATTGATCGTTTAATTCGCTCTTACTATAAAAGCAAAGTGCCCTTTCCCATTTCATCCTTAGACGCGCTTTTTAAAACACTACTTATAATCCACAAATTTTAATGTAAAATTCGCATAAGTTATTCGCTTAATTCATTTTCACTGTCAAGACAAAATGCTTTATCCTTGTTTTGTGTCTAAACGCACTCTTTTAGAACACTGCTTATTACGTAATTCTCAGGGTAGAGTGTCATATCAACTTAGTTGATTTCTCACCTTTTCAATGACTTAGCTATATTAATGCATCTAAAGTTTTGTTCATTATTAAGTCCTTGTTTGAGTTATATTATTTTCATTAAAATGTATTTTTAAACGAGAAATGTGTGGTCAAAAAATAAAGAAATTTTTTAAATTTATGTATAATATTATTTTATTAAAAAATATATAATTAAAATGATGTTAAATTACTATTTAAAAATTCATTTCTTTTAAAAGAATGTGAATCAATTAGGGCCTAAATGTCTGTAACTTTATCTAATTGTTTTGTACTGAGGGTGGCCCATGGTCTATAAGTAGAGGTCACTCGGCATGTTGACATCTATTTTGACCCAGTGCCTGTGCCCAACGTTGTAATTATCAATTAGTAAAAGCTGTCAGACCAACTTCTCTCTTTCCATAGGCATCGTTAGCTTAATCTTAGTGATTGTTTGGTATGAATTTTATTAATTGTTTTTAAATTGTTATAGATAAAATGGGTTTTATTTGTGAGAGAAGAATTAAAAAATGAAGACTGAAATAATGAAATGACAGAAAAAAATTAATTTTAATTGAATTAAAATTTCTATTAAACATGTTCTTAATTTGGGAGGGGATATGCTTAATTTTCATATTCTATTTTTTTAATGTATTTTATAATTGAGGTTACGTCATGACGACAAACTACATAAAGGTTGGTGAAAGTAAGTAATTTAGCTCCCATTTGTTACCCATTATTTAATGTTATAATTTTTGAAATAATATTTTTTTGAAAAATGTACAGTTAAAAAAGAAGAAAAAAATTTAATTTATGTGTAATATTATTTTATTGAATAATATTTATTTAAAAATGAGAGAAAAATGCATTATAAATTTAACGAGGTTCAAACGGGACTTTAGTAAGCAACTTCTTTACAAGGAAATTACGTTTGATTTTAATTTTATTCACTTACGAACAATGTTCTAAATAGCATAGAGTGTGATTAGACGGCGATGCCAAGTTTCAAAATTTTAAGAGCCTAAACGAGTCTAGGAATAAAAAAAATGTAAAGCATTATTAGATGGCAAAATCGAACTTTGCGTAAAAATTAGATCTTCACAACAGCGAACACATCAAGTCATTCTAATTTTGGTCTAATGTGTCACAATCAACTAAGTCGTCATTGCTAATAACTTATTTACTACCAACTCCACTTATAAGTGTTTTAGTTTCAATTAAACTGACATAAATATTAATTACAATATTACGTTTTTCTTTCTATCATTTTTTTTCCTCAGAGGAAAGGTTTGAAACCATCAATATGTTTATCTGCGTTTACGAAAGATCACATTCAGCATAATTTATTGGTCACCAACATACGCTAATTAACACTATTGTTTGCACCAAAATCAAATTGATTTTAATTGACTTAAAATCTGTACCAAACAAGTCTTAAGTCAATTTTTCTCTTACATTCCGCAATAAACAAAGGTAATATGTAAAAAGTAAAAACTCAAAACTATACAATAAAATATTCCACGAAAACGACGACTTAAATACTCTTTATGGTTCGGGAATGAGCCCATTTTCCGGTTCACTTCCTCTACCCACAAATGGGTCCTCTAGTCTTAGTCCTTCGTGAATTATGGAAGTCATAGACCCCATCTCTATCATATTTATGTTAAAGATTAAGCACCCATAAAGGTGAAAAGTAACGTAAATAGAAGATTGTTTAGTTTGGACTGAGTGCCTGTGACCGCACCCCCACGTAGCTATATTATTTGGACAAAATTATGACAAGTCGCTCTTATTGTTGAGGTGACAAGTCATTTTGATATTTTTTCTTCTAAATTTTTTTTGAAATTATCGTGTGAACATACTAATATGATTGAGCTTGTTGGAATATTGAGCTATCAAAAAGGTTCTTGTCATGTTAGACTTGGTAAAATCCACTTCATATTTTTCAATACAATAATTTTTTGTATATTGTCGTATTCAGTTTAATATACAATTCAAAGATAGCCTACAATTTTGATATTTTTTCTTCTAAATTTTATAAGAAATTATCGCATGAACATACTTAGATGGCTGAGCTTGTTAGAATAAATCTTGAAAAGTGAATCTTTTGACAAATGTGTAGTTAAAATTTACGGCCCTATATGTTAATTTGATTGAAAATATATGTTATTGAAAATGAATTTGAAGAAATATGAGTTTTAAACCAAAGGCATAATGCCCATTGGTATTACAGTTGACATTTGTCAGTTCCATATTTGAGCATGATGACAACGAGGGCAGAAAAAAGAAGTTAGCTGGCGCGAGACTAAGGAAAGCCACTGGAGATGGTCCCTAAATATGATAAGATTGTCCGCATAGAATTCGAGAGACGCAATATCGGATCTCCCCATGAGGTAACCTGTAAAAATATTCCTGGACAAATAGCCAATGAAGAATGCTTGGGGTACAAGGAACGCCTCTGGAATACTCACAATAGAAGGTGAGAGGGATTTTTATTTTTTTTACAATATTTTAGTCACATGGGGTCAGGTGGGTATTCGGAAATTCTAACAAGCTCAGCCATATAAGTATGTTCACGCGATAATTTTTAAATTATTTTACAATATTTTACTCACATAGGGCCAGTTGGCCTCGATTAGTATACTCAAAACTATACAATAAAAACTCAAGATCAATGTGTTTACAAAATTAATTGAGCTCTTCGCGGGTGCAATCTCTGTCGATCAAGTCACTACTGATTTCATCGGCCATCAACTGCTGTAAGAGTGACATTATTCAAGGAACTACTACTCTTTTGGCTCTGCTGAGAAGATCCTGTACCTGTGTGAGGACGACTCCACTTTTCAGCAAATGCGGCTTGCTTCGGCTCAGGAAGCTCGACAATTTCACTGCTAAGCATTGATAGAACGGCAGAAATATTTGGCCTATCTTTGGGAAGTTCTTGGACACACAATAAGCCGATGTGTGTGCATCTCATGATCTCTGCACGGTAACTTGGACTCAATATTCTTGCATCTATTAAAGACACAACATCGTCTTCATTCCATAGCTTCCATGTCTGAAATTTTTATGAGTAAGCCTTGACAAAGAATCATTTGGGAGTATTTTCTGACATAATACAAATATATAAAGAAAAGAAAAAAATATAGTCGACA